CAAATAGCATACAAAGTTATAGGAAATGAAATAATAGACAATGAAACCTGCAAGTTTATCTGACGCAATGACAACAATACATTGTTAAATTTCGTTTAGCAACTAAAAGAAGTTATGATAACAATTTATGATGATAATGATAATGGAATATACTGGTGTAATGATAATTCATGATATAATGATAATGTGAATATGATAACATATTGATATTTTGTAATGATAGAATGATAATGGAATATGCTGACATAATGATATGAATATGATAACATATTGATATTTTGTAATGATAGAATGATAATGGAATATGCTGATATAATGATATGAATATGATAACATATTGATATTTTGTAATGATAGAATGATAATGGAATATGCTGATATAATGATATGAATATGATAACATATTGATATTTTGTAATGATAGAATGATAATGGAATATGCTGACATAATGATATGAATATGATAACATATTGATATTTTGTAATGATAGAATGATAATGGAATATGCTGATATAATGATATGAATATGATAATACACTGATATTTTATAATGATGTAATGATAATGGAATGAAATTAAAAGTTATTTTTATTGATGAACAATGGAAAGAAATATGCCGCAAATAAATTATTGCATCAATTATTCCACTTGATATCTTGTGATATCATCACTGACAGTAATATAACATACATACATACATACATACATACATACATGCATACATACATACATACACACACATACACACACATACATACACACATACACAGACAGACAAACATACACATAGCATGAAACGATTAGCCCATGATGAAAACGATCATCCCTGAATTAACAATAACTTCGTTGATATGAGCATTCATTCGATATTATTTTAATATATTCAAATAGTTTTCACATATATCAAAGGAAAAACTTTTTGGATAAATTAATTTTTATGTATGTTCAATTACTTATAAAAAAAATAATTTTTTCTCTGTTTCAATGCTATCAATTAATTCTTCCAGAAATAAATTTATTAATTCTGAATAATATCTAGATTTTTTTTTCTTTTTAATCATCCTTGCTGTGTAAAATTTCATTTTTAGTTTTTTTTTAAAAAAAAAAAAGTAAAAACAAAAATTCTGTTTAAGAAAATTTTTGAAAGTTCAAATTGTTAACTGTAATGGAATTTATATCATTAATTAACGAAATGAATAACAGTTAGATTTTACTATCATTAATAATAATTCTTTTATTAATTCTGAATAATATTTATTAATAATAATTTTATAAAATAAATATACATCAAAATTTTCTGAATTTATTTTTGAAAAAAGCAATTTGATTGATTGATTTATTGTATGTATAAGAAATAATTAATTTCTTAGTGCACTGCAACTGTATTTAGATATCGATCAAACTTTTCAACTGCATTTATTGTATATATTACTTTACTATAATAATAAAAATCTAATATTTTACAAAAGTTAAAAAAACAAAACTGAGAAGTTAGCTTAATTCTAATTCTAAATAATTCTAAACTTTTGAAATTATTAGAAGAAATGATGTGAAAAATTTTTGAATTCATGAAGTGAAGTGGAAAATTTTTTGAAAAAGTTAAACTTTATAAAATGTATGTATTTTTAAATGTTTCACGAATTTAAATGTTTTATGAACTTTTATGAAGTTTTTCTTTTCTTTTTTTTTTAATGACATTAAAATGAAATTTTATTTTGAAACAATTCGATTGATTTGCTGCGAACATATGAAATAATTAATTTTTCTTGACGAATAAAATTCATAGGAAACTGTATTGACTATGAAATGTCTACTAAATGATATTAAACATAATTTGATGACATCAAAATTTTGGCCTAGCAAAAAAAAAAAAATAAACACAAATAATTAGCCCAGTATAATTAATAATAATCTTATCTCAAAAAGATTGACCAATGATCGTTGAATTTATTAATTTATTGTTGTATAAGTAAAATATGCCGTCAAATGCACAATTATTAAATGAATTAAAACAAATAATTAATTGGGTTGTCATGGTAAAGCTAATTTATCAGTCGATCATATAATCGTAAACGATGTTGTTTAGAGTTTGATAGTAATGTTAAACTATATCTGTAAATAAATCTAATAGTAATTTCACAGGTGGTTGAATAAGTAAACTGAATAAGTAATATCTAGTTGATAACATAATTCATTTTGAACTTAATCCTCTGTGGTATAATAATTTGAAAATTAACTGTTACTCAGTACACTTTTTTTTTTTCACAAAAACTTATCATTCATTTTTTTTTTGATCATATCAAAATTTACTAAAATACATGTAAATGCAGATTTTCTTAATTCAATTATTAATTATAATCAATGAATCATATTTAAGTTTAAGTAATTTTTGAGTGATATAAAATAAATTTTTAAAAAAAATTTGACAAAAAAACAAAGGGAGGAAATTGCAATTAACGAATAAATGTGAATCAATGGTTGTTAAGAAGAACAATTCATGCAGTTTAGTAATAAACTAATACCTCCCACATATTATTTAGAAAAAAGTATACGGTAGATAAATAAACACAATGAATTTTTCTTTTCGTTCTAGGTGGTTTGTTTTCTAAAATTTTAAAATAATTATAAAAATTTTTTATGCAAATTTTTGTTTGATAATTTCAGATTAAATAATAAAATGGTTATATTGGTACCAATTACACCATGTGTATGCATTTTTCTACTATGCCTTTTAACTGGATTTATTGGCAATACTGCGCTTATTGTAGCTACTATTCAAAACAAGTACGCCATTAACTGATTAAATGATTGGTTGATTGATTGATTGATTGATTGATTAAGTGATCGATTAACTGATTGATTGATCACTTGTGATTACTTTATCAATATACTCGATTAACAGTATCATCATTGATGACTGTATTACTCTCAATTTTTAGATATAATTTAATGAAGAGGAAAAAAGAGACATAAAGTTGCTTTTCATTGTTGCATTTGATTTACATAAAATCGGAAAGATCAAAATAAGGAATTTAAAAGGTTCAGTAAATGTTTCAGAGAAGAAACAGAGGGAAAATAGAAATTGAAAAGGAAAGTTTCATCAATTTGCTTATATAATTTCATATGAATTTGAAAGATTTATGATTAAATTTATGATATTTAAAATATTTTAAGTAGCAAATTTTTGTATCTCTTTGCGTATTCCATTTCAAACTTTAAAAAATTCAAAATTTAAAAGAAAAAAATTGCTAACTTTTAAATTTACAAAAAATTCCAGGCATCTGCACAATGTCAATAATATATTAATAGCATTAGGCGCATTTGGTGATATTCTTCATCAAATCGGCCATATTCCATTTGCATACTTTATTTTTACTGGAATCACTTCCATACCTTTATGGAAATGTATTTGGATACAGTTATTACCCAATTTTGGCATGAATTTCTCAATGATTATATTACTACCTATAGGCATAGATCGAGCCATGGCCATTTTAAGACCTTTAAAGTAAGTATTTGGGGCTCACTGCTTACTGATAGTTGATTACTACCTATAGGCATAGATCGAGCCATGGCCATTTTAAGACCTTTAAAGTAAGTATTTGGCAGTACAAGTAACTTCAATCTCTCTAGCTTACTGCTTACTGATAGTTGATTACTACCTATAGGCATAGATCGAGCCATGGCCATTTTAAGACCTTTAAAGTAAGTATTTGGGCAGTACAAGTAACTTCAATCTCTCTAACTTACTGCTTACTACTGTTGATTACTTGGCCATTTTAAGACCTGTATAGTTGACAGTACAAGTAACTTCAATCTAGCTGATAGTTGATTACATATAGGCATAGATCGAGCCATGGCCATTTTAAGACCTTTAAAGTAAGTATTTGGGCAGTACAAGTAACTTCAATCTAACTTACTGCTTACTACTTACTGATAGTTGATTACTGCCTATAGGCATAGATCGAGCCATGGCCATTTTAAGAGTAAGTATTTGGTACAAGTAACTTCAATCTCTCTAACTTACTGCTTACTACTTACTGATAGTTGATTACTACCTATAGGCATAGATCGAGCCATGGCCATTTTAAGACCTTTAAAGTAAGTATTTGGACAGTACAAGACAGTACAAGTAACTTCAATCTCTCTAGCTTACTGATAGTTGATTACTACCTATAGGCATAGATCGAGCCATGGCCATTTTAAGACCTTTAAAGTAAGTATTTGGGCAGTACAAGTAACTTCAATCTCTCTAACTTACTGCTTACTACTTACTGATAGTTGATTACTGCCTATAGGCATAGATCGAGCCATGGCCATTTTAAGACCTTTAAAGTAAGTATTTGGGCAGTACAAGTAACTTCAATCTCTCTAGCTTACTGCTTACTGATAATTGATTACTAGCTATAGGCATAGATCGAGCCATGGCCATTTTAAGACCTTTAAAGTAAGTATTTGGGCAGTACAAGTAACTTCAATCTCTCTAGCTTATTGCTTACTGCTTACTGATAGTTGATTACTACCATAGATCGAGCATGGCCATTTTAAGACCTTTAAAGTTAAGTATTTGGGCAGTACAAGTAACTTCAATCTCTCTAGCTTACTGCTTACTGATAGTTGATTACTACCATAGATCGAGCCATGGCCATTTTAAGACCTTTAAAGTAAGTATTTGGGCAGTACAAGTAGCTTCAATCTCTCTAGCTTATTGCTTACTGCTTACTGATAGTTGATTACTACCATAGATCGAGCATGGCCATTTTAAGACCTTTAAAGTTAAGTATTTGGGCAGTACAAGTAACTTCAATCTCTCTAGCTTACTGCTTACTGATAGTTGTCTTTCTCAAATGGCAATGCTAAGTTATTTACTTTGTTGTTTTAAATTCGAATAATAGTTCTAAAGTTCAGAACTGTAATGGTTATTTGCAGATATCGAAAAATGGGTAAAATGCTTTATATTCCAATAATGACTCTACCAGCAATACTTTATGCAGTTGCTATGCTCATATTGGTTTTTATATATGATGGAAATAACGAGTAAGATTTTTGATAGGTATCTCTCAGGTTAAGTATAATATCTCGGGTTAAGTATAATATCTCGGATTAAATATAATAATAATATCTCTCAGGTAAAATATAATATCTCGGGTAAGTATAATATCTCGGGTTAAATATAATATCTGACTATCAAATATTTCAATAAATTTTCTTTAAAAAAATTGAAACAAAATATTAATTCATCTTTGACTAAAAATTTTTCTGCCTGACTTTCAAGTGATTGCAACAGAAACAGAAACATCTATTATGCAATATTATGAAGAAATAAGCTTAAAAAAAAATAAAAGTTTCATTATTAAAAATAAGAAAAGGAAAAAAATTTGATATGTAAAAAATGAAAAATATTCTTAAATATTCTAAGCCATAAAGAAATATACTCAAAGTGTTGCATTTTTTTTATTTTATTTTTTAAATTTTAAATTATTTTATTTGTTTATCGCATTTTGTAGTATGGAAGTAATTTGTGTTGTGGTAGCAATATACAATGGTTTATCAGATTCAGTTTGGAGTATTTCATCGACATTAATTAATTTAGCAACAATTATACTTTATGCAATGCTGAGTCGTGTTATGGTGAAAACTAAAACATGTGAGTTATTTAAATAATTAATAATTAAATATATTTAAGTAAACTATCAATTTGAATTTAATATTTACCATATGAAAAATGTCTATTCAATATCATTCGCTTTTTGCTCCTTTATTATTCAAATAGCATTTATTTCTGCATTAAAATTATATCTATGCATGAAGCATTTTATACGAATTAATTAATTATAAATAAGTTTAATGGTTGCTATAGTATTGTTTCAATTTTTAATTTTAATTTTCAGCAACTAGAAATTTCGAACTTTTGCAAACATTAAAGATTGTTGTGGCATTTATTGGACTGGGACAGCTAGCATCAACGATCATTTATTTGTCAACAATGTTTTTTGATTTTTCCGAAATGACAACATTTTACATAGGATGTTATGCGGGAATATTTGTTAATTTAAGCATCTCATGCAATTGCTTATTTTATTATTGGAGGAGGTAAAAAAGAAAAATTATTCTTATAAAATATAAAAAAAAAAAAATTAAAATATTTTGCATTTGAAATATTTTATTGTATCCTTAACAATTAATACTAGTAAAATTGATAAGTTTAATTTTAAGTTATTGTATCCTTAACAATTAATACTAGTAATATTGATAAGTTTAATTTTAAGTTATTGTATCCTTAACAATTAATACTAGTAAAATTGATAAGTTTAATTTTAAGCTATCATTATAAAAAGTGTTTTTTGCAGTACAGAATACCGGAATGAATTTAAAAAGCAACTCAGGAAATTTCCATGCTTAAAGAATACTGTCAAATTGATACCAAAATCAACAATAAGGCGAGTGACGACAATTCATCGATAGAATTTCACAGAAAATTACTCTTGAAAATGTTTTTTTTTTTAACAATAATATCAATCTAATTTGATGATAATGATGAATCACAGATTAATTGAAAAATGGCAATAGCAAATTACTAATTATTACGCTTCATCAAATTAATGAAATCATTATGTAACTTTTCATATTGATTTTGGTAGATTAGTTATAACAAAAAAAAAAATTTTTCCAAAATAAAACCAACAATTTTAAATCAAAAGGAATAAAATGAAATTTTTTTCTTTCTTTTTTTTTTCTTTTTTTTGCATAAACTATAATAATATCAAGCAAATGTATATAATTCGAGAAATATTTGTATTTCTATTATAATAAAAAAATTTCAATTTTAAAATGTCAATAAAATTTGTACAAAAAAAAAAAATTAATAATATAAATGCAAAAACATAATAAATGAAATACAGAATTGTGAATCAGTATTTTTACTTGATATATGCAAGCAATAAAAATGGCTTACTGCAATCACATTAACAGATAAGTACTATACAGTAAGTCAACTCAATTCCTTATTGTTCTATCTTTCTCTTTGTTCTTGTAAACAATTGTATTCTTGTAAACAATCACATTCTCGTAAACAACCACTAAATAACACGCATCTTTTTTGTCTTGAAATATCATAAATACATCATAGAGGATATAGTTTAGTGGTCATGCATACGTCGTAATCTCGTAAACAACCACTAAATAATACGCATCTTTTTTGTCTTGAAATATCATAAATACGTCATAGAGGATATAGTTTAGTGGTCATGCATACGTCGTAATCTCGTAAACAATTGCATTCTCGTAAACAACCACTAAATAACACGCATCTTTTTTGTCTTGAAATATCATAAATACATCATAGAGGATATAGTTTAGTGGTCATGCATACGTCGTAATCTCGTAAACAATTGCATTCTCGTAAACAACCACTAAATAACACGCATCTTTTTTGTCTTGAAATATCATAAATACATCATAGAGGATATAGTTTAGTGGTCATGCATACGTCGTAATCTCGTAAACAACCACTAAATAATACGCATCTTTTTTGTCTTGAAATATCATAAATACGTCATAGAGGATATAGTTTAGTGGTCATGCATACGTCGTAATCTCGTAAACAATTGCATTCTCGTAAACAACCACTAAATAACACGCATCTTTTTTGTCTTGAAATATCATAAATACATCATAGAGGATATAGTTTAGTGGTCATGCATACGTCGTAATCTCGTAAACAATTGCATTCTCGTAAACAACCACTAAATAACACGCATCTTTTTTGTCTTGAAATATCATAAATACATCATAGAGGATATAGTTTAGTGGTCATGCATACGTCGTAATCTCGTAAACAATTGCATTCTCGTAAACAACCACTAAATAACACGCATCTTTTGTCTTGAAATATCATAAATACATCATAGAGTATAGTTTAGTGGTCATGCATACGTCGTAATCTCGTAAACAACCACTAAATAACACGCATCTTTTTTGTCTTGAAATATCATAAATACGTCATAGAGGATATAGTTTAGTGGTCATGCATACGTCGTAATCTCGTAAACAATTGCATTCTCGTAAACAACCACTAAATAACACGCATCTTTTTTGTCTTGAAATATCATAAATACATCATAGAGGATATAGTTTAGTGGTCATGCATACGTCGTAATCTCGTAAACAACCACTAAATAACACGCATCTTTTTTGTCTTGAAATATCATAAATACGTCATAGAATAGTTTAGTGGTCATGCATACGTCGTAATCTCGTAAACAATTGCATTCTCGTAAACAACCACTAAATAACACGCATCTTTTGTCTTGAAATATCATAAATACATCATAGAGGATATAGTTTAGTGGTCATGCATACGTCGTAATCTCGTAAACAACCACTAAATAACACGCATGTCTTGAAATATCATAAATACGTCATAGAGGATATAGTTTAGTGGTCATGCATACGTCGTAATCTCGTAAACAATTGCATTCTCGTAAACAACCACTAAACGCATCTTTTTGTCTTGAAATATCATAAATACATCATAGAGGATATAGTTTAGTGGTCATGCATACGTCGTAATCTCGTAAACAATTGCATTCTCGTAAACAACCACTAAATAACACGCATCTTTTTTGTCTTGAAATATCATAAATACATCATAGAGGATATAGTTTAGTGGTCATGCATACGTCGTAATCTCGTAAACAACCACTAAATAACACGCATCTTTTTTGTCTTGAAATATCATAAATACGTCATAGAGGATATAGTTTAGTGGTCATGCATACGTCGTAATCTCGTAAACAATTGCATTCTCGTAAACAACCACTAAATAACACGCATCTTTTTTGTCTTGAAATATCATAAATACGTCATAGAGGATACAGGTTAGTGCTAATGCATACGTCGTAAAGTTACTACTATGAGTCGTAAGGTAATAGTTAGTGGCTATCAGATATAAAAGATTTGTCTGAGAAATTTTCTTGATTTTTAATTTGAAGATTGTACGAATGAATGTAATATCTAATGGAATTGTTATTTGCTAACCAATTACATTACATAAAATGTTAATATATACTGATAATATAGTGATAATTTCCTAAAAGTATTCTCAACAAATATGCAATAAACTAATGCAAAAAATAAGTAAAGGATTTGAATAAAGAGTTGAATGGAATAGGTATGATAAGCCAAATTTAAATTTGCTGATAACAGAAGATTGACATTGATAATAAGTTTAATTCGTTACATACTGATAAGCAAATGATAAGCATTGGCTTACAATTAAATTTCATACAAGTAGTGAGTAAATTATCCTTACTATTAGATAAATTTTACTACTTATATATGTAAGAGTTAGTTTTGAACATTATGTCATTTGCTTATAAAAGTGATTGATAAAATGAAATGTGTCGCTAAAATATAAAATTATTGAAAGTTTGTTTGGAGATTAATTAAACAACGAACTGATAACAAAATTTTAAATTTTAAATTTGACTGTTAGATTTGAAAAAAAATTTTAACAAAAAAAACTGGGAGCAATTTTCAATATATTAAGTAATTATAAGCATTTTTCTTAATAACAAACTACAAAATTCTGGTCAATGCGCATAAATTTGTTTTTTCTTGTAAATTTTATTGCTTAATCAACGATTGCAATTGCTTTTAAATATTATAAATAATTATAAAATAAACAATTAAATGCAATTTTAAATTAAAAACAATTAATTATTATTATTTGTATAATATTTGATTACTTAATTAGTATTTCAAAGTAATATTTGTATGACATTTGATTACTTAATTAGTATTTCAAAGTAATATTTGTATAACATTTGATTACTTAATTAGTATTTCAAAGCAATATTTGTATAACATTTGATTACTTAATTAGTATTTCAAAGTAATATTTGTATAACATTTGATTACTTAATTAGTATTTCAAAGTAATATTTGTATAACATTTGATTACTTAATTAGTATTTCAAAGCAATATTTGTATAACATTTGATTACTTAATTAGTATTTCAAAGTAATATTTGTATAACATTTGATTACTTAATTAGTATTTCAAAGTAATATTTGTATAACATTTGATTACTTAATTAGTATTTCAAAGTAATATTTGTATAACATTTGATTACTTAATTAGTATTTCAAAGTAATATTTGTATAACATTTGATTACTTAATTAGTATTTCAAAGCAATATTTGTATAACATTTGATTACTTAATTAGTATTTCAAAGTAATATTTGTATAACATTTGATTACTTAATTAGTATTTCAAAGTAATATTTGTATAACATTTGATTACTTAATTAGTATTTCAAAGTATAACATTTGATTACTTAATTAGTATTTCAAAGTAATATTTGTATAACATTTGATTACTTAATTAGTATTTCAAAGTAATATTTGTATAACATTTGATTACTTAATTAGTATTTCAAAGTAATATTTGTAACATTTGATTACTTAATTAGTATTTCAAAGTAATATTTGTATAACATTTGATTACTTAATTAGTATTTCAAAGTAATATTTGTATAACATTTGATTACTTAATTAGTATTTCAAAGCAATATTTGTATAACATTTGATTACTTAATTAGTATTTCAAAGTAATATTTGTATAACATTTGATTACTTAATTAGTATTTCAAAGTAATATTTGTATAACATTTGATTACTTAATTAGTATTTCGAAGTAATATTTGTATAAAATTTATTGTCATAAGTTAAGACAAAAATGTTTACTTCTGTGCTGCAAAGTAATGCTGAATAAAAATATAATGTGTCAAATAAGTTCAAAACAATTTTATATGATTAATTGATTTATAAATTTGTAATTGTAATAACATTTCAAAATTAGCATTCCAATAAATTTTACTGCTAAACAATAAATTTTATACAAATATTACTTTGAAAATCGAAAATAAAGTATATGAAGTAAAATTTAAATTATTTCATTTGATGCATAAATTAATAATTAAATTTATTTTTACATAAAAAAAATACATTTATGATAACATCATATCATCACTTACTTATCAGTTGATGACTTTACTAATATTTTAAAGTAATATTTTTCTTCTAAAATTTATTGGGAACAATTAACAAAACGATATTTCTAACATAAAGAAAGAAATGAAAATAAGTTCATAAGTTAAAAGTTCAAAGTAATAATATTAACTAATTATAATCTTGCAACTTTATTAATATAAATTAAAATTTATGTTTGTGTGTAAACTTTACTGCTTCACTTGTAAAAAAAAAATGATATTATCATTTTATCATTTGATTAGCATTTCAAGATAATGTTTATCAAAAATTTATTGTCACATATAAAAAGTTAAGATGAAAATACAGTGCCAAACAAAAAGTGAAATAAGTTTAAAATAATTTTATAATGCTGATAAATTTTAATTTTATAATTTTACTATAAAAGAAGTGCAGTATTATGATTATTTT